TGTTTTGGGGGCTTCTGGCTGTGGATTGAGCAGGGAAGCTGATGGGGACATGGTGGGGGGAACCTCAGCATCCAGCCCAGCCTGACCCCAACACCACCTCATTTTGGGGGAGTCACACACAATCCCTCAGGCCCCTTTCCAGCCGCTGGGGCAGCAGATGGCAAATTGAGGTGAAAAAATGCTGGAAATGCAAAGGCAAGAGCCCGCTGCACTGTTGCCTGTCCCTTTGCATTCAGTTCTTGGTCAGCTAAATTGTTATTGAATAAGGCAAGCTGCGTCAAAAATGTGCTTTAATGAAGTGCAGCAGGGGCTCTGGCATCATTTCCCAAGCTCCACGAAGGTTTTAATCCCCCTGCTCTCCAAGCCACTGCGCGACATATGCTTTAAAGAGGAGATTTTTTGCTCCCTGGTATTTCATGCATGTTACAGTTTAAAGACGTGCTGCCAGTTTAGTTTAGGCCCCAAACGTTGGTGTCATTTAGGGGGGATGGAGAAGGAGGGGGAGATACTTCACCAAAGGGATTATAAGTAATCCCAGAGCAACCTCAGAGAACGAGACCCACCACCACACAGAACACAGCCCAAGTCCCCCCATGTCCCCGCCAACAAGCCTAAAGGTGTCTAAAAGGATTTGGGAAGGTCTGAAAATGTCAAGGGGGTGATGAGCATCCTCCCCACCCAGCCTCACATTCCAGCCCAGTGCTGATCAAGCCACTGAGGATAATCCCAAGGGATTCTCCGAGCACCAAGAACGGACTTTGCTAATTAGTCCTGGCTTATCTCAAGCAAACTTTCTGCTCTGTTTGCTTAAGAAGGGCCTGGAGTGACTAATATCTGCAGCACGGAGGAAAAAGCCCTCCTGGCATCCCTCTTCTTGCCTGGGAGAGCCTCGCTCGGGGAGATATTAAAGGCTTTTGTTTCCAGGAGCTGTCAAACCCCTCACCTTTCACAAGCACTAAAACGGCCAAGGGAAAAAATATATGAGAGTGGAATAATAATGTTTAAGTCGTAAATTGGAGCCTGTAAATCAAGGAGTGACGGGGCAGGCGGTGTAATGTCTCGTGAGTTAACATGCGAGGTTTGCTTTCACCTGAGGAAAAGGGGAAAAACTAGCCAAGTCTCTGCCCTCCCACTCCAGAGATTGCTGTAAATCACCTTAATGTTACACTTTTGCTCTTAAATAGACCAAAAGCATGAGCGTGGGGAACAGACAGTGGAACTGGGTGATTTAAAAACTATAGTACTGGGAAGAAAGCTTCAAAAAACCCCAAACCAACAGATCCAAACCGTTCCCTCTCTGCTTTTAAATGCACAGAGTAAATCCTGCACTCCGAGAGACAAACCCGCATGGACCAAACCTTGCTCCTGCCATGGTGATGAGCTGAGTGAGGACATGCGGACAGCGTGGGTGCCGCTGGCAAACTATGGAACAGGCCTGTCTGTCTCCATGGGTTTGAATTTTGGAACCCAAACTGGTTCCCTGGAAGCAACAGAAGAAACGCCCACCCCAGTCACCCTGCAAAAGGGACATTTGCAGACCTGTGGTTGTCACCCACCTGCTAGTGAAGTCCCACCACCCCAGCTCCTCTCCTGGGAGGGCAATGGTGGGAAGCAGGGAACATGAGTGGAAAACCCCTGTGCAGCTGGGCACTGGGCTGTGTCCACATCCAGATTCTGCTCTCCCAAAGTTAAAAACACTGGGTTTTTCCCCCCCTGGGAATTCCTATGATTTTATCTGTTTTGGATAAGAAGAATAAAGCTCAGCAGTTCCGAACCCAGTGTCCCAAATGCTGAAGATGCTTTGACCTCACCCAGTCCATCCAAGATGCACCCGGTCCATCCAAGAGCAGCTCCCCACTGCTCCCACCCAGTGCTCTGCAGGGCCAGCAGCCACCAGCTCATGGGGCTCCAACCCCAGGGTCCAAAGGGGTCTCTGCCACCCCTGGGGCTCTCCCAGGACACCAACAAAGAGCGAGGAGCTGGTGTGGAAGATGCTGAATGGAGACATTAGGCTGGGGAGGCTGCAGCCGCGTGGCTGGCAGAGCACGGAGAGGAGGAGGAGGAGGAGGAGGAAGGCATTGGCATGCAGAGCACAAGTGCGTGCGGGGCACTCTCCTCTGCCTAATCCAGCGGGTTCAAAGCAGCCTGGGCACAGCTGCAGTGTCTGAGCCCCAACAGGTGACAGCTCAGCTGTCCCCTCCCCACGGGGCTGTTATCCCTGGAGGGGGCTGGCCTGGGGGCCAGCGGGTCCCCAGCGCTTCAGCCGGCTCCATCCTGCCCTCGGGAAGCATCCCGCAGCTCCACAGCTTCCTGCGGCTCCCTCCCCTCTGTGCCCATCGTGGTGGGATGGGGCACGGCTGCTGCGAGGCACTGGTTGTGCGGAGTCCTCCGAAAAGGAGCTCAGACTTGCTGGGAAAGGCAGGACCGAGCTGTTCTGCACAGTGCTGGTGGTGTGGAGCTGGCTCTGACACCCCGCGAGCAGCACGCGGGTTGTGTGCCCTGTGCTGGTGCCCGGTCCCTGCCAGCCCCTGGAATCGTAGGATCAACTAAGTTGGGAAAGACCTTTAAGCTCACCAAGTCCACCCGTGCCCAGCAGTGCCAAGGCCACCACTAACCCCTGGCACTGAGGCCTCGTCTACCCGGTGTGTGAACACTTGCAGGGATGGCGTCTCCACCTGGGAAGTGTTCACACAAGGCTCCCATCGCCCCATCTCACACCCTCCCCTTGGCCAGCCTGCCACTATTCCACCCCCAGCCCTGGGTGAATTCCAGTGTAAGGGCTACACTGCAGCAGGGAAATACTTTATCCCATCACTTTGAAAACCTATGTGCAAACAGCATCCTTCCACACAACTGCCCCTGCTCCCAGTGCATCCAGCAGCAGCAGGACCAGGAAAGGCAAACCCAGCCAAGCCTCTGTGCATCCAGTGAAGCTGGAGGGATTTCTGTTTCTCCTCCCAACTTGTCTGGTTCCTCTCTGGAGGCTGCACCAGCTGGGTCAGAACACAGCGATGGGCAGGGGAGTGTGGCAGAACACTTGTGCCTGCCCTGGCCAAAATCATAGAACCACAGAATGGTTTGGGTTGAAGGGACCTTAAAACTCATCCAGTTCCAACCCTGCCCTGGGCAGGGACACCTTCCTCTATGTCAGGTCACAGCCCCTGTGTCCAACCGGGCCTTGAACACTGCCAGGGACGGGGCATCCCTTTCCCCCAGGGATGCATTCACATCCACAGCAGTGGGCAGTCACCACCAGGCTCAGGCTGGTACAGAGCTGCAGGCGGAGAGAGTCCAGGTCCACTCCTTCATCCCGCAGTGACCCCATCCTCATTGCAAAGAGGGGGGAAAATAACAAAGTGTGACCTGAAATATTTCCCCAGCAGCCGCAGCGAGGCAGAAGGGTCACATAAACACCTCACCCACCTCCATGCACCCAAGAAACACCCATTAAAATCCTACACGGTGCAGGTGTGGGGGGCAGGCCTCTGCACAACCATCCCACTGAGCCGCTGCACCGCCAAGGACCCACTCGAGTTCTCCTTAAGTCAAGTCAAGCTGCCGTTGTCTGAGCAGCGCCATTATCCAGGCAGCCTCCAGACCCCCTTCCCCACTGCTCATTTCTCCTTATCTGCATAGTTTATTGAAAATTAAAATCCCTTTGCTTTTTTCCCAGGACTCGCTCGGGAACGATCTCTTCTCTTGGCCCTACTTGACTCCAATTAGTTGGGATAACAAAGCTGCTGCTGTTGGAGGATTATTGACAAATGCTCAATGAAAAAGAATGGCAAGAGAAGGGTCTATTAAAATGACAACTTTCTAAGCCTGGAAACAAAACCTCCTGGTGATTAATAGCGCTGGGGAGGCACAAAAACCCCAACTCTTAGTTTTTTGCTGGCATTTCAATTGATCGCCCCCCTCCAGCCATGACTTTGTGTCTTGCTTCTGTTCATTAACCAATGGGTCACCATCAGCATCCCGCAACGCCGCAGCATCCTCTTCCCCTCCCAGGACCACAGGGACATCACCACCAGCCACGGCTACACGACAGGAGCCCGGGGATGCTGGAAGCATGGAAATATGTCCCATAACAGAGAGGCAGCCCCATCCCTGCCCGTTTCCCAGGCCTCAGGCTCGCTGACACTGTTCCCATGGGCGCCCGTCGGCGCCGGCGCTGGGCTCCTGCCCCTAAAAACCTGCTCGATGCAGCTGCAACTATGGCACAAAAGGACTGAGGAGCATTGAGAGCAGCACAACTCCCTCACTGATAACTCCTTAATGGGGTTTCATATTTTTTCCCTGGCATTTTTTTTCCCTTGTAGATAAAAGAATAGGGGAGGGGGTGTGTGTGTGTAAAAATGAAGCATACTTGATAAAGGGCAGTAAGTGTTATCCCTAAGAAAAAAATAAATGAAATAAATAGAAACCTCACAGAGCTTTTTCTCTTCCCTAGGTGGCTGGGGCAGCTGGCTCTTTAAATATTAATCAGGGCCTCATTGAGATGCAAATATGGTGAGAGGGAATAATGCTCCCGCAGCTGCGCAGCCCCGGCCTCCTCTCCACCATGAATGGGAATATCTGAGGACACAGGTGCAGGGAGCCGACCGCGAGCAGGATCCTGCTTAATAAGGTAATTTGTGAGCGATGCTCTATAGAGACGAACCGGAGCAATCTTTTACCACTTGACAGTATCTGACCACTAAACAAGGTGTTAATCTTCTAATTGTGGTGTTGACTGTTCCCTAGCACAGCGTTCCTGGCCTTTTGCCCTGACACTTGGCCAGTTAAAATCAACTTCACTGACGGGTCGGACGCGCGCCAACCGATCGGCGATAAATTATTTATTGTTCTATTTCCAGCATAACAAGTAAACAGGAAAGACGGAGCATCCCGCAGGGAAAAACAGTTTGGATGCGCATCGTTGGGCCCAGTCGTGTTGCTCCACATGGGCACCCCCATTCCCTGTCCCCCCTGAGGCCGTGCCGTGCTCCCCCGGCTCTCACCTCTTTCTGCCACGAAGGTGATGGCATTCCATCTCGTAGCAGCAAAGCTGTGTCCAGCGATGGGTCTGTGGTGGCATCCGTGTCCAGGGACCTGCGGGTGGCATTTGGGGTGGTGAACTCCTGTTCCTCCTGGTACCCACTCTCCTCTTGGTGAACTGGGGGGCAAAAAGAGAGACCAGAGGCATCAGAGCCTGTTATGGGCATCACTGCCTGCTGGCATCCTCTGCTAGATGGAGCGATAACTGGGAAAGTGGAGCAAACACGAGCTCCCCATCACTGTGTCCTCGCTCCAAGGCCATCCATGGTGGGGACCTTCAGCTGCTGCAGGAGAGACAACTGGGAAAGTGGGTCAGAGCCTTCAGCAGCATTTCACATAACCAAAGCCAGTGGAGTTGGGTGCCCACAAGTACCCGTAGGGTTAAACTCACATGTTTTGCTCTCTCCTGTGATTTCCCATTAGCACAGGTGAGTCTACAGAGCAGGGAAAGACGGGAAGGAAAGGCCTCCATGAGGGCACCAGAAAGGCACCCTCCCCCACCATCCAACATAACCCAACATGCTGCATTGCTGACTTAAACACTCATCCTCCCTTGCCACGTTTCTTGGGAAGGGATGCCCTTGCCATATCCCATTCCCAGCTCTTGGGGCAGAGCTGGCCCTGGGGCACGGCTCATTCTTCCCTGTGACAGGGCTCATTCTTCCCTGTGACAGGCTCGATGGAGGCGTGTTGGGGACGCAAGGGACGCATCCCATCCCTCTATAACAGCAAGAGGAAAACAGCTTCGAGGCTGCGGATACAACACCCGCTGCGGCAGAGTATTTTGAAGGTTTGCCTCCTGTGGTTGCCATCCTCCCTTTTCCCTGCCAAGCTTCCTTGCCCGGGCTCCTGGTGATGAATGACCTCGTCCGGGTACCGCCGGTACCAGGCGCGCGCAGCTGCGAGGCTGTTTCCCGGGGCGGGCGCTGCAGATGGCTGCTCCACCACAGCTGCCCGCTCCCTGCTCACAAAAGGATGGGAAATGCAATTAATTAGAGAGCAGGAGGGAGAGGGAAGGGATGCTGGGATGTCGCAAGGAGCCGACCCGGAGCTCGGCCTGTGACCAGCACGTCCAGCCTTGCCGTGGCTGGCTCCGGCTTTGGGAAGATGCAGAGGGGTCTCGGGGCAAGGGCTGTCTGCGTGGTGCTGTCGTTCCCAAATTCCTGGAGACAGGGAGAAGCACAACTGCTCATCCTTGTTCTCTGACTCAACTTCTGACTTTGTCATGTTGGATTTGGCTTCTGGGTCCAGCTCAAGGGGCAAAGCTCGGCTCTGCTGCATTCCCTTGCAGGCAGGGCTGGACGTGGCTGCTGCAACCTTTGTATGTACGTGAGTGCTACAAGCACTATAGGTACTGGCAGCATCTCCACTCTGTTTGGGAACAGACAAGATCGTCTCAGAGACTGAAATCATGTAAATTCAATCATCACCTTTGAATTTGTTGACAGTTCAGCAAAACCTTCTTAGCCTGGGTAAAAGTTACTTTATTCCAGGAGGTAAGAAGAGTTCTACTTAGCCGTATAGATTAGCCTTTTGTTTCCAAAGTATATTTATCTGCCTTAGTATCTCAGTACCCTCATTATTACTAATTACGAACAATAAATCACTACCACTAATGATTGTTGGTTTCTGTACAAGGAATTTGCCTATTTCAACATTTCATTGGGAACAAAACTGGATCTATAGTCTTAAGAGCAACTCTTATCCGAGTTGGTAAGCAGCAGGGACACATCACGGTCCTCAGCTCAAACAATCCCAAAAGGTCCAAACCCCTCGGACGTGGAGCCGCTCTGGGAGGACGGAGTTCGCTCCCCTGGGCTGGAGGAGGATGCGGCTGTGCCGGGACCATGCATTGTACAACCGGCAGCTGCTGCTGAGGTGTCTTTTACCCTGGACCTTGTTAATGAACTGAAGCTTAGGAGAGAGTGTGTGCATGGGCTAGACAGAGAATCAACCAGGATTAGCAGCACAAAGCCCCTGAGCGAGGATCGGGATGTTTATCCCTACACTTGAAACCCAACTCCTCGCCGCAGCCGCTGGGAGTGATTCCTGCCTTCCCGACACTCCAGCCATCCATCACTAGCTGGGAAAACTACCTTTTGCAAGAGCTTTTATGCCCACGGGGTAGCGAACCCTTGGGTGCCAACGTTTTATCCTGTTCTTTCAGGGAAAACCAGAGACCAGGCAATGCCTCAGCCGTGCTGCATCTCTGCTCCATCTGCCTCATTCAGGGAGCAAACACTGGGATGAACTCTCCAACATTCCTCAAACCAACCTCCCCAAGGCAATCTGCCCTCACCCATGGCGTGGCCTGGTGGCAGATCACCTTTGAGAAGCCAAAACAAAGACAGCTAAAGAGCAAACCAAATTCCCTGTCTCAGCCATGCATATACATGGGGAGCTGCAAGGCGAGGGCATGGAGCAATAGGCAGCTCACTTCCAGCTGAGAGGCACTGCCAGCCAGTGCTGATGCACACTCTGTGTGTGCTCTATATGCACAGCATAAAACTCTGAAGGATATAGAAGTATCCAGGCAGGGCCAGGCAGCTGGGAATCTGTCATGAGGAAGTGCAGGCAGCGGGATCTGGCAGGAGAATTGCTCCAGCTTCTTGTGGGGTGGAAATGACTTAAAAATCCACTTGAGAGCATCCTGCTTCCCCTTTAGAAATAGCTCCAAGCACAAGCCATAGAGTCACAGACTGGTCTGGGTTGGAAGGGATGCTAAAGCTCCTCCAGCTCCACCACCCTGCCACGGGCATGGACTACTTCCCACACAGCAGGT